AAGTGTGGGAATAAATATTCGAATATATATTCTGAGTTAAATGATACATTTCAAAGGTTTATACTGTCGGGGACTAAATGTTAATGATGGATAAAGTGTTCTTTGATGTTCCCTAATTAAATATGGTAAATGCAGTGATCTCTGATCGATTATGCATCCATATAGTTCCACCTTCAATCGTATTTATAGAGAGAGAGAGAGTGGGAGAAAAAACACACCCCAGAGAGTGGTATTTCCTCTAATAAATATTATAAATATTTGTATATGGCGCGGCCTTTACTTGATAATTCCTTAAGACAACGGAGGTGTTTCAACCGTTGCTAAAGATCTGACGGAGTGCTGAATGCATGCACACGGGTTCCTCACCTCCCCCCCACCCACTACTTTTAGTGGAGGCATTGGGCGGGCGTACCCCTCTCCACGCACCCCCTGAGTGCCTGTCCAAACTGTCATTTACAAGGCGTGGCGTTTGCCTTGAGAATCATTGGCTGTCATGCGTGTCTCGTGTGGATCGCCACTATATATCAGATATTCTCGTGTGTGTATATACATACATATTTACATATATGTACATGTGTAAGATAATTCAGACAGAAGAAATATTCACTTGCGAAACGATGAACAAGGAAGATCTTTCCATCTCTGCTCGTTATAAACAGAATTTAAAGCATTAAGAGTTCGAGATTAACAGACAAACAAATTAAGCCCAGGGGCACTCCGGTAATCGGTAAAGCAGTTCGTTCCTCCTTTGTCTTCTTCATTGTTTCACTGAATCAGTTCCTACCTCAAGCAACACCGACCTACCTCAATCAACCACAGCCCGCGACTCTCTCCCGCTCTTCCCCCCCTTCATTAACTCTACAGCTAGAGCTGGAGCGAGAGAGCAATAGTTTCGGCTATGTGCATTGCGGTTCCTTCCTTTAGCAGCAGCCAGCTGATCAGCAGATCAGATAAGCCTCGAAAGCAGAAAGCAGAAATCAATGTAAATTGCAGCAATAAAATTCGTCACTTTTTGCACTCTCTCCGTCCGTCCGTGCAGTTCTTGGGCTTTCGCTTCCACTCTTCGGTGTGTGAGTGTGGGGAGGGAGGGCAAATGATGTTCAAGCAGAGAGAGAGAGAGAGAGAACGAGAGTGCAGCATTCCCTTTGCCTTCTGCCTGCGAAATCTTTATAAGCCGGAGAGAGCCGCTGAAACCTTTGGGAGTGTGTGTATGTGTGTGCGCTGCTGGGCGCTCAATTTGTGTCCATGTCCATGTGTTCCTCCACATAAAGATCTCTCCACTCTCCAAAGCAGAACACTGTCTCCACAATATGCTCTCGTCTCCAGTCGCTCGATCGCATTTAATTTCTACAATTTTATTGTTCCGAAAGAAAATATGTGAATTTCAACGGGGAATTTGCAGGGTTTCACTTGTTTTATTGCCTGGTGAGACTCAGCAGCGTCTCCTGGGGCTGGAAGAACTCGTAGGTGAGCTCCCCCAGCCGATCGTAGAGGGAGCGGAGGTGGATCAGGCTCGAGATGGCCCTTAGGCAGAAGGAGAGCGGCGGGGGCACGGGCGTCAGCTGGAAGATGTCCTCCAGGTGGTGGATGTTGGGCAGCGTGTGGGGGAAGCGGTCGACGAGCTCGCGGAACAGGAGGCAGGGTATCGGGACGTGTGCTATGAAGTCGCGACGGTCCTGCAGGACATAGCAGTGCACGGAGTAGCGGCACTGCTTGGCCTGGTGCCGCAGGTACATGTGGAACTGCAGGACGTTGGCGAACCGGAAGAACACGCGCACATCCTCCGGCCGCGGTGTGGCTCGACCCTTGATCCGATCCACCAGATCCCCAAACGCGCAGAACGCCATCCTCGCGTTCACCCCCAGCAGCTTCTCCTCCAGCAGGCGGCGAGCGGCCATCGAGAAATCGGGCGGAATGGGCAGGGGGCCCATTAAGCCGACGAGAGTCAGCGAGGATTTACTGGTCAGGTCGGCATCATCGATGATCGGACGCAGCATCGACTGTGCAGGCACTGGGATGCGCCCCACCGACTCCTGCATGGACCGCACCCCCACCAGGGACACTATCTCGTACTGTTCCGCCCGCAGTTGCCTGGCTCTCTCCTCCTCCTCCTCGAGTAGCCTTTGATGACGGATCTTATCTTCCCTGTCGAGCTTCTGGCGGATTTTGCGACGAATCTCCAGCATGGTGGCATTCAGCAGGGAGCTGTTCCTGTCCCCCGCTTGACTACTCGCTCGCTTGGCCGCGCTCCGCACACCTTTCAATCCCGAGAGATCGCACTGCCCTGCCTTAATATTCTGCTCTTCGCTCGCTGTGGCAGCTGTGGTGCTGGGTAGGGTGTGGGGGCAGCGCGACTCTCTCCGCCGCTGGAAGCATCCTGGGGAGCTCTCGCGGCTGCGCGTGGGGCCCTCCAGACTGTTCAGATTGTCTTTGTTTTTTCGTGAAACCATTCCTTAAATTTAAATCCTCAAAAATCTACTAAAATTTTCCCAATTTCTGAGTTTTAATATTTTAAAATGAAAGAATTTTCGAGGCCTGAACGATTCTGGCTTGGGGGGGTTCGTATTCAGTTTGGACCAGGGTGCCTTCCGTTCGTCAAAATATAGAAGAATCGATGGAGAAACATTTGAAAATATATTATCTATCGATCTACTGCGTTTTGTTTACGATTCGATTATTATTTTAATCGGAATTTTCCCATTTTCAAGAACTTTTCGAATCGCAGCATGCAGTCCGTGTGGGAGATTTCCCTTCGAAAGGGGGAAAGGGGGCTCTCTCAATTCCCATCCATCGATCGTTGTTTTTCTGTATTTTTATTCTCTCCTGAAAAGGAAAATCATTCACGCACGATTAACCCATTGATGGGCCCGCTCGCCCGCTCCACCATTCGGGGGCATTATAGTACGGAGGAAGAATGTGTTAAAAATAAATTTTTTATTGATTTTATTTAGTGTGTGTGTGTGTTCGAGTGTGTGTGTGTGTGTGATGGCCTCTCGGTTTAATTTGCATGCCCCATGGCCCTTGCCTTCAGCTGCTTTCGGTGCCCCTCAATCGCATCGAGTTCAATCAGCAGCCCGAAGACCCTCAAAACCCTCTTCCTCCATTCCATATGCGCCCCGTTCCGTCCATGCCCCCATCTTTCCCCCATTCATATACATTCATTCATTGCGGATGCAGAGCCACACGTTCGTATTCGTTTCATTTGATACGCGCTATGCGATATGCGATACGCGCCACTTGTCCTACGATTTTAACATATTCCCAATGCGTTTTGCCGATATTCGTACATTGGATACGGATTTGGATTTTTCGCAGTATTTTTGTGCTTTTAATTGGCCCATCAAAAAATAGCCAAGCAAATCGCAAAAACACATAAAACTAGAAAAATCCATTGCACAAGAATCGGTCGACCTCCTTCTGGGCTTTAGAATTTTGTGGAACGATGGCTGGATCATCGCTGAATGGCTGGCCATGAGGGCACTTCTACACTGACCGAAAATTATGTGTGAGAATGAAAAACAGAGAAGAGAAGTACAGTGGTAATGTTGCACTGAAAGAGAGCTAAAGATTTAATTCAAAGAAACAGCGAAAATTGAGGCTCTCAACACACACAAAAAATTATAAAATAAATATTTAAAACATTTCCATTTTAATTTCTTTACTCCAGAGTCTGGGGACAGAAGGAAAATAAATAGAGACAGAACTGATAAAGACAGTAGAAATCGTGATATGATTTACAATTTGTTTGGGCTCCAAATAGCATTATTTTTTTTACAGCGTGAGAGAAAAAATTAAAAAAGTTTTAACACATTTTCGTCTACTTTTTGAGACGTCTAATGAGTAGTTTTCGCTGAGTGTATTGAAAATGAAGAGGTTTTTGATATATGGAAATTCAGAGCGGTAGTGAGGGGAGTGTAAGAGGAGCAGTGCAACAGCAGAAGGTGTGTAATGGAGTGCATTGTGTACATAAATTGTATCAGGTGTAGCAGGAGCAGGTGCATTGCACCTGAAATAGAAATAGTAGAGGCCCAAGCACCAGTCCGTGGCACAGTCATAGCCCCCAGAGGCCGTGTAAATAGAAGCGTAGAACCTACCTGCAATTTGCAGGCAGCGGGAGATAACGCGACGACGCAGCAGACACCTGCAACACCACCCCAACCCCGCGACAGACATTCCGTCTCTCAAAGAAAAAAGAAGCTCCTAAAGTATATTCATTGTCTGATAAGAAGAGCGGGGAAATTGGGAGGGGCGGGAAATAAGAAAACAAAGACAAAGATTATGGAAGAATAACATTGGAGATACTCGTCCATGCTGGTGAATTTCCTGACACGGAAGATGAATCCATTCGACGACTATTTACTCGGTATATTTCTGTTTGTTGTTTCTTCAGTTTTTATTTGTAAGTATAGAGGAAGCCGCTGCTCCTCCCACCTGCACTCCCCCAAGGGAGCAATGAAATTCGAGAGCCGAGCCACTGACTGACATCATGGTATCTACCACCTGCAAACCCTACACCCGGCAACCTGCACTTACCCTGTATATATTGTACAAAGCTGGGGCGGGATACATATGTGACTACAAGCAAAGGGTAGAAGCTGTATGGATTATTGGGAATTAGTTTTGGGGATGTGGCACTTATCGTTTTAATGAAAATTATGAATGGAGTTCCTCTGCAATTATTATCTATTGATTCAAGAGTTTTTTTTATTATTATTATATTATTTTATTGTTTTATTTTGTATCATTTTATCATTTTTAAATATTATTTATGATTTTTTGGTATACTTTTTAAAAAATTTGTTTGCCTATATTTTGCTTTATTTTATTTACATTATTTTTTATTTACTTATTTTTTTATTTATTTTTTTTTTATTTATATATTTTATTTTTTTTTATTTTTAATATTTTATTTGAATTGTTTTATAAACTTGTTTAATTTTTTTATTTATGTTAAAATTTTTGTGTGTTATTTTTTAATAGTTTTATTTCTTGTTTTATAGATAATAAGATACATAAATCTCGTTTTGAGAATTCCTACTGATAAGAAAGAAAACAAATCAAGAAATCAAGCGCACGGAAGAGAATTTTTTCGGTCAGATTCAGGATGGCTGTAATCGATCCGCCCGAGACGTTTGACAGTGCTATCCAGAAAATGGTAGAGCAAATAGCTCAAATGAAGATCAAGTTTCAGGCAGCGGATGATGAATCGGCCCTAGACTTAATCATTGAAGAAATGAATCAATTAAAATCTGATTTGGCTCAGATAAAAGCCGCTCTGATGGAAATAACCAACATTTTAGAAATCGAATAGATACATGATAAACGTAACACTCGCACATACACACACACAACATACACACAACATACACACAACACACACACATTCCCAAAAACATATCATCGCGATGAAAATGTCATAACTATCCAAAGAATCAAAGTGAAATCATAAATAAAAAATGTAAAGTGAAAAAGAAATAAATGAAAAATAGTTTAGGGGGTATGGAGTCCCTATAAATGCTGCGTCTTTCCTGTAGTATTTCGGGGCATTTCTATTGATATCCCTCTATGTAGAGATCCTATGGTAGACAACCCATCCCCTATGTTTTGTAGATTGCTTCACTATTTTTTTAACTTTACTGTTGAACTTTGGGGGGTATTCCTTTAGATTTTATCTTCGTGTAGAAATGCATAAATATCTTGTAGATCTGTGTAGCTTAGATCCCTTTGTATTCTATATTCTATATGTCCATCCTATGTGTCTCCCTCTTGGGGCACCTTCCGTCGGTCAGTTTCCCACATAAAATTCACAATCCATATACAGTCCACATACAATCCTTATACTAATTGAAAATAACTCCCACTTCATCCAAATACCATCTACAAATGTGCAATCCAAACTAAATTTACCTAAATTGTATTTACATACAATCCACACACACTCAACATACAAATCCACATACAATCCACATATAATCCACATACAATCTACATACAACACACATTCAATCCACATTAAATTAACACAAGTCCATTTCATCTTGGGAAATCTTTATTTAAAAATCCAATTTTTGTTAAATAATCCCCATATCTAAAGATATATGTATATCTAAAGGTATTCGCAAATCTTCCCATTTAGTAGATACATTTAATTGATTTTTCAGTAATATCTGCAGTGAGTATTCCACAGGGTAATTGCTACGTCCAAGCCACCATGCCACTCGTCTGGATATCCATATCCCCACTTTGGATCTCGATTTTCACACACAAATGCCAATAAACATGCAGGGGGCGGGGGGTAATGTGATGTGGAATGGGAATGGGGTGGAGGTTGGTGGATGGGGGATGGGGGCTGGGCTAGGGAGAGAGCAATCCCTTGCACATGTGCGACTTCCTTTGGCGCGACAAAACATTTTATGTGGCGCCAGTCGCCTCCCCAGCCTCCTACCATTCTGCTGTTCCAATTTTTTTTTTCCGATTTTCGGGGGTCAATTTTTGTTGCAGGGCACAACATTCTGTGCCACCGAAACTGATGATGTCCTACATTAAATGGCAATAAAAATAAAGGGGCGGAAAAGCGGGAAAAATCCCAAAAGGGAAAGGCAAGAGAAACATTTACAAAGATGCAGAGAGAAACTCGGTAATCAAATTATTTGTAGACTCTTTTTGAAGTGGATGGCAAAATATCCGCAAATATGCCACAAAAAGGGGCACATTGTGGGCGATTGCTGTCTGCTGTTCGATATACTTATGTATGTAGATGGATGGATGGATGGATGGATGGCTGGCTGTAGATACATGGTGTATATCATGTACAGACACAAAGATACAAAATATAATTAGTTTTTGGACCGCTGCACAGATGATTCTGTGGGCTTCTGGGGCTTCCGATGGATAGAGATTGCTGCTGCTGCTGCAAAACAAATTATAATGTAGAAAGGAAAGGAAAACGCTGTTGCGGAAACAACATTTTCCTCTTAATAGAATTTTCCTATAGCAAAATTGTGTTTACGGATGCGCGAGATGTGCACGAGAATTTTCCCCCTTACAAATATTCGCAGGTTTTTGCACTGACTGCTGCTGTAAATTTGTATGATTGATCGAAGCAGTGGGTGGAGGTGGAGGTGACTGTGAATGATCAATGGTATTGGAAAGAGGAAGCCATTAAGGAATATTTTAAATAGCTCAGGTTCATTCTGTTAGGTACATTTTTCTCTTTATCCTCTCACTTCGTAACTATTAAATGTATGAACGAATCGGCGCATTTACTTAAACATAAACATACATAAATGGGTTGTATTGGTTCCACTCGTTCTGTTTATTTTTCCATTAATTTTTTGATTCATTTTACTTTTATTCGATTTTACCATTGAATACCCTTAGCTATGACACATTTTCCATTATTTGTTGATTTTTAAGAGCTTTGGTTAAGGTTTGGTCTACAAAAGGTTTCCCCTTAAACTTTTTTGCAAAAACTTAATATTTTATCCCAAATCCTGTCGCAGTGAGGAGCGGGAGGGTGGCCCATAAAAACCTTTTCCTATGGTTTTCGTTTCTATATGTACATATATACTTTTCCCATTTTCTTTCCCTCTTGTTTTTTTTTTTTGCTAAATATTTTCTGTGTTTGCGTCATTTTCCACAACTGTTTTGTTGCTTCTACTTTTTGCATTAGTTTTTCTATGGCTTTTTCTTAATTTGTTTGTCGGGCGCCAGACGAACGACGACGAAAGCGAAAATTGGAAATGGAAAATTTGATTGATTATATGGGAAGAATGATGATGAACGAGCCAGATGATGATGCCGATGATGATGCTCTGTCAATGATGATCATGATGATGATGATGATGCTAATGATTAAATGCAGAATCCATCAAAAGTGTTGCAAACTTAATTGCCGCCAATTGATGTAGAGAATTGATTGAAAAATCATTTAACGAGCAAACATTCTCTAACGAAAAATCACTGAAAATTCGACTTTCATGCAAATGCAGTTTTTATATTTTTATACCCCGTATTTGTGTTGGTTAAGGGGTATGATGTAGCTAAGGGAAAAACAAGCATTCAACATAAACAATGGAAAAAACATACAAGAAGATACTTATCTGCAAGGATAGATAGATAGATAGATAGATATATACAAGAGACAAAAGAAAGGTAAACAAATTTTAGATAAAAGAGGTAAAATATAGGTAAAAATTAATTAGAAACAAAATATATAAAAGATAGATAGATAGATAAATTAAAAATAAAGTGAGATATGAAAAAAAATATATAGATAAAATATGTAAATAAAATATAGAAAAATAATAAACAAATTAGCAAAAAATATATAAAGAATGGATAAATAAATATAGATAAAATAATAATGAAAAAACTATTAATACAAGATAGACACGCTCCCAAAGAATTCCACTAAAATCTATTTAATGGGCAGCCCAAAGTCGAATGACAATGCTATTAGAGCCATTTGATTGACAATGAACTTAACCGCTGCTCCGCCCTTTTACTGAGAGGGCGTGGCCTCACTTCCCAGTGGGTCGGTTTGGGGGGTGGGTGGATGTGAGTGGTGTATCGTTGGCAGGGAACATCTTTGGACTCTGAACTCTTTCGAGTGGATCTGTCGTCGTTTTTCGGAGGAAGAGAATGCGGTGAATGCTTGGGTGGACTGTCCATCAGGCGGATAAAAACAAGCGGAAAAACACAAGACAAATGTCATGTTTTTGCATCCAAAGAGAAACGGCTGTGTGAGAGAGAGAGAGAGAGAGAGCGAGTGTGTGGTGTGTGTGTGTGGATTTAGAGATGAAGATGATCCCCAAAATGACAGCGAAAAGGCGGTGGTTGGTGGGTGCTCCTCCTACGACTGCAATCTCTTCAGTTGATTTATTTTCGATTCACAATCATCAATCATTTTGCACTCGCACAAAGTGCTTGCCACAAACAATTTATTGGGGCAAAAGAAAATGTTTCGCACTTGGATTTTCCTGCTTGCATAACTCGTTGAAAAACTTTGTGTGCCTGCCTCGTGCCGCAAATAGAATTGGTCTTTTTTTTTTTTTTGTATGCTTTTTGGAACATATATGTACATATGTACACACAAAACATTGGAGCCATGGGACTCTTGACAATATATTTTTTGAAAATATTCACGTCTCATTATATTTGTAATTGTCGCTGCGAGAAATGCAAATTCGACACAAATGCGCGCACACATCGCAGACATCAGTATCAGCATTGAAAAAATATTAAATGATTCGCCTCCAAAAGCAAACAAGCGGCTCCCCAAACAAATACACAACGAAAATAATCCAACGATTCACCAGCCATTTGAATAATGGCATGACACTCACATGGATAGAGTGACTGACTGACTGACTGAATGGAAAGATCTGAAAATTAAAACAAAAGATCTACAACCATTTACATACATATTTATGTATGTTCATATGTTGACATCTAATTGTCGGGCCTGTATCTTCGGCAACTGTTCAAACACCGCGGGTTCTATGTATTCGAACATATTCATTGTATTCATATTGGTGTTATTCGTATGGTCGTTGAGTACTCAAGTGTTGGCTGAGTTTTTTGGGGGGGTAGCAAACACAAGCCACAAACGAATGCGCGGGGATCAATAATCCTCTCACGACAGTTCGTTGTACCTATGAGATCATCCGTTGACATTCAGTAGATCAATCCAAAGATCATGAGAAGAACATCCACAGATCAGTATGTAACAGTAGATTATCGAAAGATTATGAGGGAGATCTTGGGTAGGATTACATGTACATACCATCTTGATTTTGGTTTCTCGTTTAGCAGTATTATTTTGAGCTTCTCCGAACTTGTTTCTGGAAGAATACAATATCGAAGAAATGAAAGGAGATGAGAAGTAAGGACGTGCTATAAATTTATAGAAATGAGAAAAAAATGAATCAAGGAATCGACAAGGAACGCGCAAAGTCAAATCCCGTTAGATACCGTCCCATGCTTCACACGTTTTTGCTGAGAGCGTGACTCGAGGGAGAGCGCCGCCGCACTGTGGGAACATGCAGAACAAGGGCCTCTCATAAATTGACCCTGTCAAAAGGCTTCTTTGCGCTTAATTAATTAACATTACAACTGCTCACAAGAATAAGGAAATTTATTTAAGAATTTAGGCATGGCGTTATCAGTACTCGTACTGATTATTGAATATGATTATACAAAAATTGCTGATTATTTGGATTAAAGCGACAAAAAGTACCCATAGTGCGTAGGGCTGATTGTTGTTGTTGCTGTGGCTGAGAGAGCAAAGGATAGATGGCATTACTACTTGGTGAGAGAGCGCAGGGTGAGAGAGCAATGGAACGAAGAAACTGCAGTAGGTGAGAGCAAAGCTCGTGGAATTAAATGACAGAGAACAGCAACAACAAAGTTCGGCTTGTCTTCTCAGCGCAAGCATATTTGTTGTTTTTGTTGTTGCTGCTGCTGCTGCTGAGAGAGCGCCAGATGCAGAATTGACAGAATAGTGGAATTGCAAGTGTGTGCATTGCGTGGGAGGGCGACCGAATCGAAGCTTACGACGTGTAGGTGATGTCCCGTTTGTCGACACGAACGATCGTGTCCCACCGAGGAACAGAAACACCACTGCCATGCGCTCGCTTTGCTGTTGGTGGCTGAGAGAGAGCCGCAGATTGCCGAGAGAGAGGAGAACAATCGGAATGAAATGGAAAGGAATTGTGGACTGTGTCCAATGCGTGTGACAAGGAGCGTCGAAGCTCGAAGCTGCTAATGAGGAGTGACATTAATTAAGCAAACGGTGGCAAAAAAAAAAGGGTTACCATGATAAAAACCCACATAATGGCACCTTACCAACGCTCAACACCCCATTCCATATCCACATCGACATCCACACCCAATCCTAGAGTAGCCACCGCCGCTACTGCTGCCTGCCTGCCTGCCTGCCGTTGCTGACGAATGCCTATAAATGTTTTCATGCCTAATTGATTTAACGTCTCTCGCTCTCGGACATCGGACATTGGACATCGGACATTGCGTCCGAATATAGACATCGATCCATACTGTTGTTGTTGCAGCAGCACTCGTTAAAGCTCGACTAATTACGGATTTCTAATTTCGAAATGAATTTGTGCATAATATTTTAATGATTTCAACGGATTGCCGGCATATAAATCGTCATTAATCTTCCATTGAAAATGACAGAAAGACGCGCGCGAATACTATTCTCAGATTCTCGGATTCTCGGACACTGAAGTGCGTGGGTTGGTTTGTTGGAGGGGAGGTGCTTTGGTGCTCTGAACATTGATTGATTTCACACGCCTCAGCTTTTCTCTGATTATTTTTAGCATGTATTTTCAGCGTGTGAAATGTGGAAGGGAAATTTTTGTTATTTTTTATGGCGCGGGGAGGACGACGACACGACACGTCACATTTTCCTCTCCAATGAACCAATACACATTCAAGGTCACTCATGGACTCTCACTTCCTCCTCTCTTTTGCAGAAAAATCTTTTTGTGCCTGCCCCCACCCGAAGGGTGGAGGAGGAGGAGCTGTGCAGGCTGCCGCATTAGCGGCGGCGGCAGCGGTGCTGCATGGACCATGCCGTGAAGGCAACGCGTGGCCGCCCGCTCAATACGCTCCGCTTCGAGAACGATGAGCTCGAGTGCCTCTATCAGCGGTACACGCTTAAGCTGCAGCGCTTCTCGGTGCTCGGTGTCGTTGCACTCGTTGTGGTGTTGTGCGGAGTGATGGCGGCCCTCTCGCTGGCCTTCAACAATGCAGCCACCTTTCATGTAAGCATTTACAAGTAAAATTTACTACGAATTATGCATGCATTTGCATAAGCAAATTAAAACTAATCCATAAAATCCCATATTAAATACAGAACATCTTCAATTCGATCGTTTGCCTGCTGTTCGCCGTGGTGCTGATTCTGCTGCAATGTTCGGTGATCAAGGATCACCATTTGCCGACACTATGCTACGGGATTCTACTGTTTACGGCCAGCATTTGTGTGGTTTCGATGCCGACGCTGGGCAGCGTCTTTCCAGTGGACACCAAGGAGGTGATGGCCGAGGGCGTCTGGCAGATTGTATTCGTTGTGTTTCTGGCCTACGCCATGATGCCGCTGCAGATATGGGAGGCTGTGGCCTTCGGCATCACATTGCCCTCGGTGCACATCAGCCTCACCGTCTATAAGATTTTCACGGATGCCCTGCGTTATCTGGAGTACAACCAGCTGATTGCGAATATTGTCATCTTCATTGGCGTGAATGTGGCGGGGCTGGTGGTCAACATTATGATGGAGCGTGCCCAGCGAAGGACCTTCCTGGATACGCGCAACTGCATCGCCTCTCGTCTGGAGATCCAGGACGAGAACGAGAAGCTGGAGCGATTGCTACTCTCTGTCCTGCCCCAGCATGTTGCCATGCAGATGAAGAACGACATCCTCTCGCCAGTGGCCGGACAATTTCATCGCATCTACATCCAGAAGCATGAGAATGTCAGCATTCTCTTTGCGGACATTGTGGGCTTCACGGTGCTCTCTTCGCAGTGCAGTGCCCAGGAGTTGGTGCGGTTGCTCAATGAGCTATTTGGACGATTCGATCAGTTGGCACATGTAAGTCTGAGGAGTCTGGGGATTTTCATAATCATCACTCGCTACAATCACCACTAGCGAGTATAATTAATACTTAAGTAACGAGAATAAATTCAAAGAAAAAGTGTTTAGCTAACGAAAATCAATGGTAAAAAAGCAACGAGTGACTCTTCTATTAAAGCAACGAGAACATTTTTGCAATGAATTAACGATTCATTTACTATCAAAGTAGCTATCTCAAGTATCATTGATTAAATGATGGGGTAACGAAGCAACGAGACATTTTTATACAATTAATAATGGGATATTTATAGAATTAAAGCTTACCATTCTTCGACTGTTTCTAATCTATTTGTGTGTATATATTCGCCCTCCTTAGGATAATCATTGTCTGCGCATTAAGATATTGGGCGATTGCTATTATTGTGTTTCGGGTTTGCCAGAACCCCGCAAGGATCATGCAAAATGTGCCGTGGAAATGGGACTCGATATGATCGATGCCATTGCGTAAGTCAAATCCAAGAGTAAACATCCAAAAGTAAGGTATAACCGATTCCTTCCAGCACTGTCGTCGAGGCCACCGATGTCATACTCAATATGCGCGTGGGCATTCACACGGGCCGCGTGCTGTGCGGCGTTCTGGGCCTACGCAAGTGGCAGTTCGATGTGTGGTCGAACGATGTGACCCTGGCGAATCATATGGAATCGGGCGGTGAACCAGGACGAGTGCATGTCACACGCGCCACCCTCGATTCGCTGTCGGGCGAGTACGAAGTGGAGGCCGGACACGGCGACGAGCGATCGTCGTATCTGCGCGATCATGGAGTGGATACGTTCTTTATAGTGCCACCACCGCATCGTCGCAAGGTAGTTAGAGTGCCTTTACTTTCCCCTAAATATATGTGTATCATTCCTCCTTTTTGCTTGTCTTTTTTGCAGCCCCTAATGCTCAACACTCTGGGCGTACGCTCGGCGATTGGCAGCAGGCGCAAGCTGTCATTCCGGAATGTCTCGAATGTGGTCATGCAACTGCTGCACACGATCAAGTTCTCGGAGCCAGTGCCGTTCTCGAATATTGCCACCGGTTCGTTTCCGTCGGCGGCCAATGCATTGGTGGGCGGCGCCGGTGTGGGTCTGGGCGTTGGTCTCAGCGTGGCACGTGGCAGCACCTGTGAGGCAACCAGTGGCGGCGGCGTCGGCGGCAGTGTACAGGCCGTATCGGAGAAGGGTTCACGCAAGGTAGGTTTCACTGTCTGTCGGATGGATTGGATTGGATTCGATTGAATCGAATCGTTAAAGGAGTTCCTGTAGATCGATTTTCTGTTTCAGTTTTATTTCTGTTTCTGTTGCCGTAGCTCCTGTTGCATGTCCGTGGGGGTGGGATCGTGGTTCGGGGGTCTTTTTTTTGTTTTACCTGTGGCTTGATGTACAATTTTCATTTCTGTACCGAGTGTCCTGTTGTTCCACCTTCTCTTCAAATCGATGGGTAGTGTCCGAAGGTCGCTTGCTGTGTAAAACTGCGATTCCTTTTGATTTTCGTTCTTTGATTTGTTTCCTTTCGTTTACTTTCAGGATGCGGTAAGTTTTGCCTTTCGCCCAAAAAAAAAAAGTGTAAAAAAAATATTTAAAGTAGTATTCTCCTTTTCCGTAAGGATACCCCCGCCCGTTGAACAGCTCCATTGATTTCCTTAGTTTTCCTCAGTTGTACCCTCCCTTCTTTGTTTTTCCGAGTAGCTTTTCCGTTTTTGAGTGGGCTCTTTTTTGATATTTTTGTTTTTGGTTTCGTAGTGGCTGGCATTATATTATCCATTAACTTGTATATCTGATGTATATCTATCGTATATCGTATAACAATAATATTAGATAATTAATAATGATGTGGATGCTGGTGTCTACTACTAACAACACATTGTGTAGCATAAAGATCGAGTGTATATTTTTTTTTTTTTATATTGTATATTTGAACAAAACGTTACGTTGCGTCGATGTTGTGTGTAGTAGATGTAGAATACTTGTATAATGTGTATATTTATGGGACATCAAAATTGGTTAGATATTTCTTCATTGAATACACAAACACACACACACACAAACTACACACACACACACACTACACAGCAGCTGATATCAGAAGATAATTTGCCTAAAAGAGATCTCCACCAAGGAGATCTTTAGGGGATTTATTTTTTTTATCTCTTAGTTTGTGCAGTTCCTTTAAGCCTTTCTCTAAGCTATGTGCCATCAAAGATTATAGAAAAATAGAGTAGTAGAAAATCATTCACTTTTAGCTCTGAGTGTTCTATAATCTTTGATAATGTATTTCTAGGCTCATTCTGCAGCTTACTGCTAATCGAATCTTTCAGTGATCTGTCAGCGTTTATTGTGTTTCGTTAAGATATTTTTTTCCTTACACTTTGCGCCTATTTTCCCTCTCTTTCACTTGCTCCACCTCTTTCACTTGCTCTTTAATCTATTAATCCGTATCTCTGGCTATAATTTATGTTTAGAAAAAAACCACTCCTATGATAAGCAATATTTGATCTCTCTTTTTCTATCAATTATATATTTACATAAATATTTTAGATGTATTATGAATCTATTTTGAATACTCCTGTGTACTTCTCTGATCTCTGATTTAGGTAATACGCCTGCAGAAAATCTTGCATGCCACACCGCCACCGCACGCTCATGGCATGCCACCCATGGGTTATGGTAGCGTCGTCGGCAGTGGTGGTGTCGGCGGTGCTGGTGGTGTCGGCGGTGGTGGTGGTGGTGTCGGTATTGACGGTGGCAGTGTCGGCTGTGGCAATGGCAGTGGCTGCGTTGGGGGCAGTGGCAGTGTCCAAGTGACCGTAGGCACAGATCCCAACTCAACAGCGAGTACGATTAGTCGCATTCATAGGCACAATCACAAGAACAATAAAGTGAGCAGAGCAGCAACCAAAAACAAAAACAAAAAAAAAACAATCTATAATTTTCGTTCATTTGTTCAGTCGTTCGTTCAATCGTTCTCGTTCCGCATTCCGGTTCATGTTTTCGTTCAATTGTGTTGTACCAAGTTTCGTTCATTCTACGTCTACGTCTTCGTTCCTTCGAATTTGTGTGTCGTTTCGTGTTGCAACCACTCATTTTCAGTACAGTTGCGGTCAAAATGCTCAAAGTCTTTCGATATGCATGTAAACTAATACTTAAATACTCAAAAAATAATAAAATTCTATCTCGAATTTTTTTTTAGTTTTTAAATTTAATAAACTACTTGAAACAATTTATTGATAAACCGTTTTGAAAATATCTAAAATATTGGAAAAATACTTAAAAAAAAAACGTAAATATTTAAAATATTGAAAAAATACTAAAATAAATACGTAAATATTTAAAATATTGAAAAAATACTTAAATAAATTTGTAGATATCTAAAAATAAAATACGTAAAAAATACCAGACTTTTTCTTGAGTTGTTTTCTGGCTAAAAATTAATACTAAAATAACTGTTTGTTAATTATTTTATTTTTTATCGTTAAAAAATACTTTAAAAAATACTAAAAAAATACTAAAAATACGAAGAAATACATTTTGTTAAGTTTTTGATATTGAAAGATATGTGCTTCAATTATTCAATTCAATTCTTAAAAAACCACAACTAAAACTCTGACCACAACTGTATATGCAAGCGTTGTTTGTTCTCATTCGTTTAGTTTATGCTTTTGATTTTGCTTTCGTTAAGTTGTGTTGCATCTGCGTGGGCGGGGCAGGGGGGGGGGCCTTCCTTCATGCAGCGCTTGTTTCGTCCAGCATCGTTCAGTTTCGTTGCCGTAAAGCTTCTGATCATTCGACATACATACATACAAACATTACATACTTAGCTATTTTCTGCCCTGACTTTCGTTCAGTTTCTTTAAGCTCTCTGCCTCTCACGCCCACACTGTCTCTCTCTCTCTCTCTCTCTCTGTTTGTCTGCCATACATAGAGCATGCTTACTGCAATCTGTTGTGTCGTGTGGTTCCCAGTAACCCCCCCCCCCCTACCGCCATAGTAATCCAGTAAATTTCCTAACCGGAACCGCATGCCTTAGCATCTGTAGCATTTAGCCGCCCCATTTCGTAGCATTTAGCATTTAGCTAGTGCATAAGCAAAAAAAAAAAAAAAATTTGTCTATCTCTCTAAAAAAAATTCAGCCAGCAATCAGCAGCCAGCCAGCGACAAGAAAACGAAAAACCATCCGGGAACAGTAACTACAACTAACCGAAATACCATTTTCTTCCTTCCTTCTTCCCATTTGTGCTCCTGCGCCTGTTGCATACACACACACACACCCACACACACAAACACACACACAAATACACACACACACACAGTCACAGTCCAAGGTGGCGGACAAATTCAAGCGACCTTTCCGCAAACGGCATTCAGTGGCAGCGCATCATCAGCCAACGAATCGTGTGAATCGTTTCCTCTCGCAGGCGATCAACGCCAGATCCGTGGACTGCGACAAGTCGGAGCATGTGGACCGATTGACGTTGCGTTTCCGCCAGAGCGACATGGAGCGGGAGTATCACAAGGATTTCGATTTGGGCTTCACCACCGCCATGGGCTGTTCGCTGCTGTTGCTCATACTCGGTGCGGCGCTGCAGGTGACCGCCCTGCCACGGACACTCATACTGCTGCTGCTCTTTCTCACGGCCTTCATTTGGGTGAGCGCCATACTGATGCTGCTGCTGGCCGTGCGCCTCAAGTGGATCATTTGGGACATTTCGGAGAGCTTCAGCCTGCGCATGGCCATCACCATATTTACAATAATCTTAATCTATTCGGTGGGACAAGTGAATGTGGTAGGTACCCGCAAATACTCCCTTCTATGAATGAAATTCGCTATAAACAAATTATTTGTTGTTCTATAGTTTACTTGCGTCACGGATCATCCCTGTTCGGGCAATGCCACGGCCACGGCCTGGTCGTCGAGCCGCCAATTGGATCCGCACTTTTTCTCATATCCCAGCGATGCCCATCGCAAGTGCTCGCTGCCACAGTACGTGTCATTGTCGGCGGCATTTGCCTTCCTCTCAGTGTCGGTGTTTCTCAGGTAAGACGCACCTAAAGGAGGGAGCCCATCTACATAAATGTTAACACACATCTGTTTTTTTTATTGCCGCACACAGATTGCCCATCATATTCAAGTCGCTGCTGGTGCTGGGCATGGGCACCATTTATGGTTTATTTATTGAGCTGTCGCATCAGAACATCTTCGAGTGCTACGACCATCGGGTGAAGTAGGTCGCGTTTATTTATTTTTGGCCACTAATCGAATTGATCCACGAAAACACTCTGTGTACTCTGTGCTTGCAGCGCATCGATTCCGCTCCATTTGATCTCATTGGCGCGCATTGTCATCTTTATGATTGCCATTTTGGTGCATGGCCGACTGGTTGAGGGCACCGCCCGTCTCGATTTTCTATGGCAACTGCAGGCCTCACAGGAGAAGAAGGAAATGGATGTGCTGCAGGAGTCGAATAAGCGCATTCTGCACAATTTGCTGCCCGCTCATGTGGCTGCACATTTCCTCGATGCACAATTCCGCAACAATATGGTAAGGGCTGCACACCCAATTGACCCAATCTCACTTTAACCGACTCTTTGTTGCCTTTCACCTGTCACCTTTCTTAACGCAGGAGCTTTACCATCAGAGCTACGCCAAGGTGGGCGTCATCTTTGCCAGCGTACCGAACTTCAATGAATTCTACACCGAAATGGATGGCTCCGATCAGGGTCTGGAGTGTCTGCGTTTGCTCAACGAAATCATTGCCGACTTTGATGAGCTGCTCAAGGAGGATCGCTTTCGGGGCATCGATAAGATCAAGACCGTGGGCAGCACCTACATGGCCGTTGTGGGTCTCATACCCGAGTTCAAGATCCAGCCCAACGATCCCAATTCGGTGCGTCGCCACATGACCGCATTGACCGAATACGTGAAGGCCATGCGGCTGTCGCTGCAGGAGATCAACAGTCACTCGTACAATAATTTTATGCTTCGAGTGGGTGAGTAACCAACCAACGAGAAGTCGTGGGTCATGGGGCTAGGAGGGATTTTATGGGGAATCATAGCAAGGAAAATAATTAGCGTGTAGCGTGTATAAACAGTAGCTAAGACAACATCCATATTCTAGTCCTCGTATTGAATATCGATAGTTATCGATAAATTAGTAGAGTCATTTCAAGGAAAAGAGATTTATGAAAGAGCAAGCCACATTTTAATAACAAAAACCTATCGATAAACATAGATGATTATCGATTAATTACACTCGTATTGAATATCGATAATTTGCGATAAATTAGTAAATTCATTTACACATTTTAATACAAACCCTATCGATAACATAGATGAATAATCGATTAATCACACTCGTATTGAATATCGATAATTATCGATAAATTAGTAGAGTCATTTCAAGGGAAAGAGATTTATGAAAGAGCAAGCGACATTTAAATAAAAAAATCTATCGATAAATATAGATGAATGATCGATTAATTACACTCGTATTGAATATCGATAATTATCGATAAATTAGTAGAGTCATTTCAAGGGAAAGGGATTTATGAAAGAGCAAGCTATATTTTAATAACAAAATTTATCGATAAACATAGATGATTATCGTTTAATTACACTCAGATTGAATATCGATAATTATCGATAAATGAGTAAAATCATTTCAAGGGAAAGAGATTTATGAAAGAGCAAGCGACATTTTAATAAAAAGACCTATCGATAAAAAAAGATGAATGATCGATTAATTATACTCTTATTTTGCTTTCTTCCCTGACAGGCATCAACATTGGTCCTGTGGTGGCGGGTGTGATCGGTGCCCGAAAGCCGCAATACGACATCTGGGGCAATACGGTGAATGTGGCCAGCCGCATGGACTCCACGGGTGTGCCCGGCTACTCGCAGGTCACCCAGGAGGTGGTCGACAGTCTGGTGGGATCGCACTTTGAGTTTCGGTAAGAATATTGGGCATACCAATGCCAGTAAACGAACCGCAACCCCATGCTAATCGCTAATCACTCGTTCCACATATGCAGCTGCCGGGGGACCATCAAAGTGAAGGGCAAGGGCGACATGGTCACGTATTTCCTGTGCGACAATAGCAGCAAATCACTGAATGGAGAGGTGCGGAATGCCATGTCGCTGCCGCAGAGCATGCACGGACCGGACTACTACATGAAGGCCTCACAATTCCCGGAGAATCGCGTCAATACGGACACCTACAGCAAGAAGGAGAACGGCCATCTATACACTGCGGTGGGCGGCGGCAGCGGTGGCGGTGGCGAGGAGCAGCAGCTGCTATTGCAGCATCAGCACAAGCAGCTGGAACCACTGCCGCTGCCAATGCCAATGCCGTTGGCGCTGCCCGCTCCACCACCGCCGCACCATTTGCACCAGCAGCAACAGCAGCGTCTCAACAGTAAGCTGCAAAAGCAGCCGAACTTTATGGCCAATGGGGGATTGCCGAATATACGCGAGAATGGCCATAATGGGGAGCACCACCACCAACACTACATGGTGGGGGCGACGTCAACGGCGACAACAACAACAACAACAACACCGTCATCTGCTGCTGTCCCTCTACCCCTGGCTGTGGCAGCCCATAACCAGCACCAGATCCTACTCCAGCACCAGATCCAACACCAGATCCAGATCCAGCACCAGCACCAGCTCCAGCACCAGCCCATTCCTTCGGTAATGTTGCGCGAATTTAATATCATTGAGAATCCGAATCCCGGTGGCAGGCATCCGCATACCCAGCAGCAGCATTCCCAGCATCAGCAGCATCAGCTGATGGAGCAGCTACCACCGCAGCTTCTTGCCCAGCGGCCACAGCATCATGGCAGCCTGAGCATGGATGTGGCTGGAGTGCTCGGTGGTGGTGGTGGCGGCGGTGGCGGCGGTGTCGGCGACTGCTTCATGATGCCGCGGCGTGATCGTGATCGCGAACGCGAACGCGAACTAGATCGTGATCAGCTTCAGCTGCGCACATATGCGCCGCCGCCCAGCATGGCGTTGCCCTTTAACCAGCATGGCCATCATCCAATGCATCATCTCCATTCGAATCCGCATCAGAATCAGAATCAAAATCAGCATCAGCCATCGTCAGCCACCAGCCTGGGGTATGGCCACTGCCGTGAGAGCGAGCCGCTATTGCATGCCAGCAGCGTCGCGCCGGTAGCCAAGGTGAGTGATGAAGATGAAGATGAAGATGAGGACGAAGACTACGATGACCTTGACATTGACATTGATGTTGTTGAAATGGAGAGGCTCTGGGGCAAGGAGATTCTGCTATGAATGATGGACCGCAACCAGAACCAACCTCCAGAGTAAACTCCAGATGTTGCCTCCAAAGTACCTTCCCATCCCCCATACCCATACCCATACCCATGGCCATCCTCCATTTGTGACTAACTAACAGATTTTTATATGCCAATATTTGTGTGAAAAATATGGAGATAGAATTTTATTACGTTTAAGTGGAGTTTTATAAACGCTTTAGAGATATTCTGTGCAGAGACATTCGGACAGAAAGGACACATTTAGCTGAGATTTTTAAGGCTTTTCAGACTTTGAGCTTCGAAGATATGCAAAAGTTTAAGCCCCAAGCTTCGAAGCTCAGTCTAGATGTAAGCTTTAAGCTTTTACCGACCAAGGGCGGTTGTATAGGTGTTTGTGTTTTTTTTTAGCAATTTTTCTGAGAAGATCTGGACGAAAAGATAGACCAAGCATAGATTTTCGTTTTTAGACATTTTCTATGAAGAGCTCCTGCTGAAAAAAAAACTAATTAAGCTGAGATTTGTGAAGGCTAAAGCTTTTATTGTATAGATATGCATAGGTTTAAGCTTTAAGCATAAAAGCACCGAGACCGAGGAGCGCTGCCGCACGTGTATTTCGTATTGAACGTAAAGGAAATGAAGTGTAAAATATTAACGAGAAAAAGAGCAAGAAGGAAATGCTTTCGTTGTGTGCAAGCAGTTGTAGATCGAATATTTTATAATGTGTGACCAAGCCTATGTCCAGCACTAATCCTTGAGGGGTGTTCTCTGAAGGGGTTTGCTTTGAAATCAAAGCAAAAAAAAACAGAAAGATAATGCAGCAAACATGCAGGTGCATAGGTAAACCCATTTGTGGTACTTTTAATCCGATTAATATATATACAGATATATAGCTGTGGCCTGCTGATGATCCTTTAATGCGTGCACCTCCCCCCCCCCACAGTACCTTCCCCCTTTGCACACAAATCTAATGCTCTCAATGTGATATCTGATGAAACTCTCTCTCTCTCTCCAAATGTGTGTCTAACTCTCTTTCTCTCTGTGTTCCACTCTTTGCATGCCACCCACCCACCCACACACACACACACACACACACACGCACATCTGTGTCTCGTTCGCTCATCTATCCGCTTGCCACAAACACACATACACACACACACACCGACACCGACTAACCCCATTAGATCATGCCCATGCAGCATGCGCCAAAGTACGAGCCACCACGTTACACTTCTCCCAACACCGTGTTGTCACAGCATCCGCAACAGCAGCAGTCGCTTCCTGCCCCCCAGCAGCAGCTGTATGGACACCAAATGCTGCAACATCATCAGCAGTATGCCATGTACTCGCAACAGTTGCCGGTGGCGATGCCAGTGCCAGTGCCAGTGCCACTGCCACCGAAGCCCACGCTGCGCACGTACATGAAGCCGCTGCCCAAGCTGCCGCCCGAGTTGGACGAAAGCCGCGACATGTCCTCCACGGATGACCTTAGCTCGCGGCCGCATTCCCCATCGATGAGCAGCTCCGATGAGAGCTACTCGAAGACAACAGAGGGCGAAGGCGAGGGCGATGAGGACTCGCCCAGGATC